TGACTTTTCCAATTTATTTAATTCCGAGTAGAAATGTCTGGAAAATTTCATGTCTTCGATGTACTTTATAGTCTTCGGAATTCTGCTAGATTTCACCCCCCAAAATGCATGAAATCGCAATTCAGGGACCCAAGATTTCACAATTTTCCGGACCCCGGACCCTCCTAGACGGCCTCACGCCTTCGGCGTGAGGTCCGACCCACAAAATTAAGGCTTGGCTACGCCACTGGTTATAGCTGTACGGTTATAGCTACAAAGAGTTGAAGTTATTGTAAAATATAGCTGAAGTTAATAAATTAAAGTTTTACAAAATCTCTCTTCAGACTCGCACCAGTCACGCGTTCGTCAAACCTCGACGGCTCATATTTTTCGTTCTGCCTTTTTTTTCTGTTAACCCCCCACTGAAAATTCCTTAAAAAAGGCACTGCATCATACTCTTCATTTTAACTTAGAAAATCGAAACTGATGTTTTTGATTTGCAGATATTGCTTCTTAGTTCTTTCGCGAATTATTAATGCGTTTCGCATTAAAACTATAATCTATATATTAACATTAACTACTTTAGTTTATTAAAATTTTACCTTTGCTTTTGTTAGCTTTGATCTCCTTCAGAATTTTAATAATCTTTTCTCGAACATTTTCAACGTCAGCAATATGTCCTTTTATTGTAACCGTCCCTTTGCTCTTATCAACATTAATCTTAATGTCGTCATCGCGCTCCAGTACAAGCAGCTTCTGAAGATCGCGGTCAGTAAAAGTCTTGATGACGTCATTCTTTATGGTCTTCTCATGAACATTTTCACGTATCTTTCTCCTCAACTCTTCCCAGGCTTTCTCAATCTTCCCGCGGTCATCTGAATAAATCCTGATCGATATGCTTTCATCTCTTCCTACCGACTTTGCGGGTTTTATAGAATGACTTGCGCATGCGCCGACTGGCTGTGGGTCCGAACTAGTGGCACCCCCCGAGGAGAAATAAGCTTTGGTTGCGTCTTTGAATTTAATAAACTTCGCTTTTTCCAAAATCACAATGCGTATTAAACTTAAAGCAAGATTTTTCGACTTGGCAATTCTGGACAAACTATCAAAGATTAACTCGGCTGACTGGCTCTCAGAGAATCCCATTGCGCCCGCTCCTACGGCGGAAAACGAAATCCTGGCGATATTTCTCTTTGAAACGTCATAGAGAAATGTATCCAAACATCTTTTTAGGTCACATAATTTTTTCAAACCCGGTGTAATGACGTGAGCGATCTGACGAACAGCCAAGTTCCCCGCTTTTGTATACTGCGTCGAATAAAGGGCAGGCTTTCCGAGTGCCTTGCATTCTTGAATGATGGTATCGCCCCCCGCTTTTATCAGAGCTTTAGCAACCCCACCCTTAACAGCGAAATCTTGACCAATCACGTGCATGATTAGTTCAGTCGTTTCTTTGCTGATATCATCGCATACGATTTGAACTGTGAGGTTTCTGCTCCCAAGCGAGAGTTTTAGTGATCCGTCGTGCCGCTTTTCAATAAAGATAGCGTTGCTTAGAGTACGTGATAAAAACACAAATTTAATTTCCTGAAGTGCATCTATAAAGAATAATAAAAGTACAAAATTAAAGTATAAAGGACGCGGCCCGAACGTGGCTGAGTTAAAGACTTACTACAAGTCTACGACACCTCTGACTGTCACGATATCTGATCTCAGAGCACATCTAATAAGTTTGAGAGTTCAATTTAATTGAGTGCAAAATGTTTATTATCTTCAAATGTTCAACCCCCCTCCCGCCCCGTCCGCCTCGCTCTCAAATAAAAGTATAGCGTAACAAACCTAGAAATGCGTCTATCGTTGCTTGGTCGCCACCAAACGCCACAAAGTGAACTTCATCGATGGTCGATTGAGGGTGGGCTGTAAGGTAACCTGTTACTTCATCAAACAAGATTTTCGTAACTTCTGGACGCGGGCAAAGCAAATTTCCCGTGCCGATGGCGGGAATGGCGATAGATCTCAGTTTGTCTTTCTCCATCTGATCAAGACATTTTTTGATGAGCGTACCGAGAATCTAAAAAAGAAAATTCCCTTAAGTTAATCCCCATTCAAGAATATATCTACCCTTATTGTACAACATCAGATCGCTTTAAGGTAGCCGACACAAAATCACAGTTAATTTGGCCGTATGTTCTGCACACAACAAGTCACTGCATGATAACTTAACTTGACAAAATAATAAATAAATAATTTACTATAAATACTATAAATATTCTATAAATATTCTAAAGCGCTAGACAAAATCAAAGCTAACCGACACACGGTCATAGCTAATTTAGCCGTGTGTTCTGCACACAACAGGTCACCGAATGATAACTTAACTTGACAAGAGACAAAATCAAAGCTAGAAATCAAACTGGCGTTACCTGAGCTCCTTTTCCGTCGTCCCAGGAGGATGCACGAACATGATAAACGCGTTTACACTTTAATTTAGCCGGCCCAGTTGAGGCCATGTCTCCCAACTTAAGACTTCCAATTTTCTTACATTCACGCAGCAATTTCTTACCAGCCACCTTAAGTAAAGCCTTTCCACATGAGTTAGCGTTCAAATCTACTTTGTCATTTGTTGTATTTACAATGACATCGACCTGAAAGAAGAAGAATATTTATGAATCGCAGGACCTCACCACTTCAAATAGTAATGCACACATACATTAACCTCTGTATCACAAATACCCCAAATATACCTTTTGTTGTGCCAAATCTCCAACAACTATCGTTATCGTGTGTCTCGACCCCAGTTTAACTTCTTTATCGTTTACGAAAGACATGGATTGGTACGGTAAATTCATCGTTGATGATGCACCACAACTTCCTTTAGTCTTCCTATTAGTTTCCTCAGGTTGGGTGTTACTTTCAATAACACATTTGTGGCTCCTCTCAACCTCGGAAATAATTACTTTCGTTGCTCCCATCTGTTTTTTCATTCCAGGTTCGGACAGAGAATAGGCCTATTGTTGATAAGAAAAAGTATAAACTGCAAGAGTACCATTACTGCATATATCCCAACACTGACAGGTTGTATTTGTGAATTTCGCTAAGTACTGTCAACTTCTAGTCAACAGTGTGAGAATTGAAAATAATGTTAATTTGTTTCATTATATGTAGTAGTTTTGTATACGGTGGCAAATGAATAGAGTGAAAGATATACCTGTGCAGTCTTGTAACGCTTTTCAACTAGCTATCAATTGTCAAAGGAATAACGTATTCTGCACTAACTTTAGTTCAGGTAATGTAGCTACAGTAACGGTAAAACGTTCCAAGGCGAGAAGGAACATACCAACATGCCCTTAATCTCTAAGCTATCCTCAGAACCGGACAAACAATTTTAAAAATACGCTAGGAAATACGTACCTTAAAATCGATTTGTTCAGCCAAGTCTGAAAGAAACGTTATCATGTCTTTTCTGCCTGCCTGGGTGCCCTTTACCTCAAGCGAACCAGAATCAATTTCCAGAACAGCAACACCTTCCGCTTCGCAACTTTTTTCCTTTTCTTTAATTTTGCTCCAGCAATGCTCCTTTAAGAAACGAACTTTCATTGGATCCATGGGTCTAAATGTATAGCTCGCGATCATCATTTCGTCAGTTAAACGTGTTAGTTCTTGTTCGGCATTGTTCATCTTAGATTCTTCACAGACGATCCAGATATTGTAAGGATCCACGAGTTGAGTTCTGGGTCGATCAAGACTTGGTGTTGGTCAAACTGTTCCATTTTGAATTCTTGCAGTTTGTCGGATTTTGCCAGGAAACTCGCTGTCTCCTCGTTGACTCTGACGCGTTTCTCTGAGGTTTTCGCATGAACGATCTTGAGAAGACGTTTCTCCTTTAAAAATGAATATAAAATTGTCACTTAATATATTATTTTATTCTTATACTGTCTGGTTCATTTTGAAAACGGCGTAAAACTTTACAAAACTTTATTTAAACTAGATAACACCACTTTAGGGATTTGAGCATGGCCAAGTGTGCGCTCGTATTGGTCTAGTATTAGTTATTACAGGAGGAAATCTAAACTGAACTAACTTTATTTATACTGGATAGCTCTGTCAGTTCTAAGCTGTTCTTCCTGGAGGTCCAGTTGGAATAATATCTTATTGATCCAGTGTTACTACAGGAGGAAACCTAACCTAAACTAACTTTATTTATTGTGAATGGCTGTGTCAGTTCTAAACTGTTCCCCCTAGAGGTCCAGTAAGGATCATCTTTTATTGATCCAGTGTTATTAGAGGGAGAAACCTAAACTGAACTTTATTTATACTGAATAGCTCTGTCAGTTCTAAGCTGTTCCTCCTAGAGGTCCAGTTGGAATAATATCTTATTGATCCAGTGTTACTACAGGCGAAAACCTAAACTAAACTAACTTTATTTATACTGGATAGCCCTATCAGTTCTGAACTGTTCTCCCTAGAGGTCCAGTAAGGATCATCATTTATTGATCCAGTGTTATTAGAGGGAGAAACCTAAACTGAACTAACTTTATTTATACTGGATAGCTCTACCACTAATTCTACCACACACGATTTTACATGTGCAGGCGGAAGAGAGTTAATAATCAAATTTATTCCGTTTGTCTGATTTAGCATTACCTCAGTATTATCACACTTCCTCAGGGTCATAATCTTAGCCTGGAAGGCTTGAGCCGCCACAGCTTCTTCAAGAGTCAGCATCATTAACATGACGTCATCTTTTTTCAATTCATCATTCACAATCTGACAATCCGTCCGCTTCAGAAAATCTATCTGATGATCACTCATCTTTACGTCAATCTCTGAGATCTCCATAGAATCTTCAGAGATCTTCGCTTTGATATCTTTTGTTTCGGCTGTCGTTCCTAAAAACGACAATTTACCAGACGAACTTTGCATTCCACGAATTTGTACCTCGGGAAATTCTGTCTCAAGTTTCTTGAAATAATCAATGAAATTCAAAAATTTTAGCTTATTTTTGTCATCTATTTGAAAATCTATTGATACCTTTGGAGCTTCTTCTGTAAACGTTTCTACCATTGTTTCAACTACCTTACAGTCAATTTGTTTAGCCAAATCTACAAAAAACGTTATCATGTCTTTTCTGCCTGCCTGGGTGCCCTTTACCTCAAGCGAACCAGAATCAATTTCCAGAACAGCAACTCCTTCCGCTTCGCAACTTTTTTCCTTCTCTTTAATTTTGCTCCAGCAATGCTCCTTTAAGAAACGAACTTTCATTGGATCCATGGGTCTAAATGTATAGCTCGCGATCATCATTTTGTCAGTCAAACGTGTTAGTTCTTGTTCGGCGTTGTTCATCTTAGATTCTTCACAGACGATCCACATATTGCAAGGATTCACGAGTTCTGGGTCGATCAAGACTTGGTGTTGGTCAAACTGTTCCATTTTGAATTCTTGCAGTTTGTCGGATTTTGCCAGGAAACTCGCTGTCTCCTCGTCGACTCTGACGCGTTTCTCTGAGGTTTTCGCATGAACGATCTTGAGAAGACGTTTCTCCTTTAAAAATGAATATAAAATTGTCACTTAATATATTATTTTATTCTTATACTGTCTGGTTCATTTTGAAAACGGCGTAAAACTTTACAAAACTTTATTTAAACTAGATAACACCACTTTAGGGATTTGAGCATGGCCAAGTGTGCGCTCGTATTGGTCTAGTATTAGTTATTACAGGAGGAAATCTAAACTGAACTAACTTTATTTATACTGGATAGCTCTGTCAGTTCTAAATAGTTCTTCCTAGACGTCCAGTAGGAATAATATCTTATTGATCCAGTGTTACTACAGGCGAAAACCTTAACTAAACCAACTTTATTTATACTGGATGGCTCTATCAGTTATAAACTGGTCTTCCTAGAGGTCCAGTAAAGATCATCTTTTATTGATCCAGTGTTATTAGAGGGAGAAGCCTAAACTGAACTTTATTTATACTGAATAGCTCTGTCAGTTCTGAGCTGTTCTTCCTAGAGGTCCAGTTGGAATAATATCTCATTGATCCAGTGTTACTACAGGCGAAAACCTAAACTAAACTAACTTTATTTATACTGGATAGCCCTATCAGTTCTAAACTGTTCTCCCTAGAGGTCCAGTAAGGATCATCTTTTATTGATCCAGTGTTATTAGAGGGAGAAACCTAAACTGAACTAACTTTATTTATACTGAATAGCTCTACCACTAATTCTACCACACACGATTTTACATGTGCAGGCGGAAGAGAGTTAATAATCAAACTTATTCCGTTTGTCTGATTTAGCATTACCTCAGTATTATCACATTTCCTCAGGGTCATAATCTTAGCCTGGAAGGCTTGAGCCCCCACAGCTTCTTCAAGGGTCAGCATCATTAACATGACGTCATCTTTTTTCAATTCATCATTCACAATCTGACAATCCGTCCGCTTCAGAAAATCTATCTGATGATCACTCATCTTTACGTCAATCTCTGAGATCTCCATAAAATCTTCAGAGATCTTCGCTTTGATATCTTTTGTTTCGGCTGTCGTTCCTAAAAACGACAATTTACCAGACGAACTTTGCATTCCACAAATTTGTACCTCGGGAAATTCTGTTTCAAGTTTCGTGAAATAATCAATGAAATTCAAGAATTTCAGCATGTTTTTGTCATCTATTTGAAAATCTATTGATATATTTTGAGCTTCTTCTGTAAACGTCTCTACCATTGTTTCAACTAACTGTTTCTTTCCAGCGACGTTTTCTCTTTCGCCAACGAAAATAGCACGAAAACCATCAAATTTGAAATCGACTTTCTCCGCTTCGAATTCATTGCGCTTGCTTTCAATTGCTTCCTTAACTTGCTCAAAAACAACTTTCGGGATTTTCACATCTTCTTTTACAAACGAGTGAAAAAATTCTTTCAATTTGTTTTCAAACTCTGTCGCATCTTCTTTGCAATCTTCGAACTCTTTCGTAAAATGAAATCGTGATGAACTTGCATCGAATTTCGCCTTTTTTAAGTCGAATTGTTCTTCAATTCTTAGGTGTTTCATTACATAGCCCATGACAAGAGGGTCGATGTGATAACTTCTAGAGACTACTGTTGTTTTAATTGTACTTTCTTCATGCAGCTCTTCGAAGTCATCATAGTATGGAAATACGGTTAAAGGAACACCTTTAAATTTATGTTCCTTTTTGACAAGTCCTGAAACAACTAAAATCAGAAACTCGATCAGTTGACTTTATTTATTTATACTCAAACTTTATTTATACTCGATAGCTCTACCAGTTCTAAACTGTTCTTCCTAGAGGTCCAGTAAGGAATATATTTTATTGATTCAGTGTTACTACGGGAGGAAACCTAAACTAAACTAATTAACAATTATTCGCCGAAGGCGAGGTGATTATCGGTGAATAAAAACCGAGACGAAGTCGAGGTTTTTATTCACGATAATCACCAAGCTCCTGAGGTGAATAATTGTTTTAGTATAATTTCATAGCTGATTATTTGGAAAAAAAATTAAAAATGCACATTTCTTCGTCATTTAATTGGCAAAACGGCTTCGGCCGCCATTTTGAAAATTGCTTAGGTGATTATCGCGTAATAATCACCTCAACAGCAACCAATCAGCGTTGAGAATTTCCAATAATCACCTATGTAATTATACTAACTTTATTTATACTCGATAGCTCTGTCAGTGCTAAACTGTTCTTCCTAGCACGTTGGTTCAATTTAGCGAAATTTCTCCCACTCGTTTGGGCTCGCAATGTCAGCGGACATCTTTCACTTCTGTGAAAAATGTTACACCGCAAGTCCGCTGGAAAATGCGAGCCTGCGTTCGGAGAGAAAATTTGCTGAATACGACGAGCGTCTCTACACGCTGTGAGAAATCTAAATTATTATTATTAATTATTACTATTATTATTGTGTTAAAATAAGCCAGATTTATACCTGAAGTTTTTTCAAAGTAAACATTTGCAATCCCATTTGTTCTATCCAGTATTATGTCCGTAACTTGATCACCACCGATATTTTCATTTGAAAATTTACACCTAATATCCTCAAAGCATGTTCCTTGTGGTATGTTACTGATTGTAATGCCTTTGGTCAGTGGAGCAAATTCCAGGGAAATAATGGAGCCATCCAACTTCATGTTTTCATTAGAGCTTTCTTCGTTTGAACAATCGTCATCTAAGTAAAGGAAAAATGTTTATTTCCCGATAGTAAGGGTGTTTTTTGATTATCAGTTGTCAGGTAAGGTTCAAATCATTTGTTAGCTGTCCGTGCCAGTCAGTCAAACCGCAAATGTGAATAATCAAACTCTAATCAATGTTCTCTTTCTGTCAATTGCTGGCACAAAGCCTTCACCTACCTATTTCATTTTTTAATATCACAATAGCTTTACCATCTTTCCCAAAAACAATGTTCAAGACGTTAGCCTTCCTTTTAACTTCTACAAAACTTCTTAAAGTTTCTTCGTTAGTTTGATAATTAAGGTTTTTTGCCAGTAGAATGCTTCTGTCATGAGTTGGCTCCAATACATCACTCACTTTTAACAGCTCGCCCTCTGGTGAAAGCGGTTTTTCATTGGCTTTTTTCAGTACATTTTGAGCATCTAAACATATCAGTAAATTGAAATTTTATATTGATAGTTACTTAGAATATTTTGATTAAAGAATACTGATGAAACAAGAATCAGATGGTTTGGACATGTGATTTGAAAGAATGATAGAAAGTTAGCTAAGAGAGGATGAAAGGACTCTGTCAAAAGAATATGTAGAGGAACGCAAAGCGGGACAAGATTGTAAGAAGATTATGGAAAGATAGTTCAACTGAAATGCAAACATTTGAGTTATGTTAGCTAAGAAAACATATTGAAAGAGAAATTAAGAAACCAGAGGAAGATAAAAATAACGTGAGGTGTCCTGAGGAAGACAAAAGGGAGGTTGCGATCTGCGACGCGGCCGGCTCAACGACGCAGTCTAAATTTCAGCTCAAGAATGAGCGCTAAGCAATCTGATTACTGTAATAAATATTTGACGCTCTGTCAAATAACCTTACAAACTGCTACGTTCGGCTGAAGCGATGCAATGTTTGCTGTAATTTCGACTTTAAGTAACATCTCTTGAGTCGCATTAAGGTTTCACGTTGACTGAAAGACGTAATAATGCTTGTTTAACATTGTGTTGAGAATGACAACGCGGTTGACAATACTCCCGGGACCACGAATTATTGACAGTTTTTGTCTTGCATGACAAAAAACATATAATACTATATGAAACATATAATACTATTGTTTGTGGAAACACCAAATTTCTTTGTTTTGAAAGCGCGTCGCCGAGCCGGCCGCGTTGTAGATCGTACACTTCCTAAAGAACAAGATGATGTGACGGAACTAGAAAAACTATGGAGAAAATTAGGGAGAGTGCAAGAGTTAGAGAGGCAAGAGACCGAGTTACCTTCTGAGGAAACAAATGTGCATGCTGCATCTTCTGGTTGATTGCGTTCTTGGTTGTCTATCGCAGAGCTGCCTTCCTGTATCTGTTTGAGTTAAATCAAGTAAATAACCTGTTTCGGCTTGTGTCTTAACTACCTGAAAATTATTACAAACACTTGGACATATTTTGGCGAAAGCCAGGAACATCATAAATAGAAGCATAGACATTCACAAAGAATGTTTGGTCGAGTCCAAAGTCCAAGTTTATATTAGTCTTTTTCAGGTAGAAAGTTGTTTACCTTTTTGTTTGCTAAACACGATTCATAGCTCTGAGCTTCAATCTTTTTGCTGTTGATGAATTGTTCCTGATGATTCAGGACGCTTGTTGAGACTAAAAACACAAACTAAGAGAGGTTAACTAACTACTGACATTGCCTAGATTTTTGATTGACCACTCACAAAAGAATTCCATTTTCAGAGAGTGCAATGGAATACGTAACACTGCAAATTCACTGTAAACTGCACATAGACAACTACAGCTCCATGTAAATGTGCCAGTGCCCGTTGAATCCAACAACATTATTTTATTCTTCTTGAACAACAACAACAAATTACTACTTCTAAACTTTTCTCTCATCCTTTTCTAACTTAAGCTTTCGCTGCTTATATACTGTCCGAAAGATATTTATAGACATTACATAAATACTATTTTTAGATACTACGTAAACGATAAATATAGCAAAACATGACTCAGCATAACGACGTAATGTCTCAGAATTGAGAAAAATTTGTTAAAACCCGCAGGAGAACAAGTCGTTTGAAAATCAGTAATTGCCGTAAAATTCATCGGGAGAAAATTGAACTTGAGTGATTACATTCAATGTTTTTCTTATTGCAGCGAAATGTATTTTATTAAATGACTCAACAATTTTCGTTCAAACTTGGTCAGATAGTAGAACTAGTCTAATGCTTTCATGGAAACCAATAAAAAAATTTAGGCAAAATGAACACTCAAAAGTGTTCTGTAACCTTAAATTAAGTCTTACAGTGTAACCTAAACCAAAATATCTGCTTACACGATACAAACATTATTTGAAGGGACATAAATGAAAGAGCTCAAACCTTCAGGCATATCAAAACTAACAAACGAAACGCTTCTGTCAACCACAACGTCGTCGACATCTCCACCGCCATTTCTTTCCTTCTGAAAATGAATCGTCAGTTCGTCTTCTCCGACATTTGAAGGGGAATTTAAAACCACAACCATCTGCTTCGGATCAATGCTTTGCTCTGAGAGCTCTGCCATATTTTGTAAAACGTTTCGAGGCTAGCTTCGGCCTCAAAACGAAACTGCGACACAATAATTCGCTTCTGAATGTGTTGTATTGCCCAAGCCGCTCAAACTTTTGTTGTGTTGGGTTCGTGAACTTCGTGGAAAATCTGAGCCCGTCCGTGGGAAGTCCAAGAATTATCTTGGACTTCCATGTAAGTCAGACAACATGAAAGTCCCACTTCCGTGCTGTATTTTGAAAGGATTTTGCCAACTTTCACTATAAATATACAACTATTTTACGGCTCAAGCTTAAGTTATTATCTTAGCGAAGAAGTTATATGCGTGAAATGCATTCTTCAGAGTAAAATAAAGGGAAATTTCCCCAGATATATCGAAATTGGGAAACTTACATCATATTATGTAATATAATCTCATTTATGCCCTTCCGGAGAATGGTATATAATGATAATGATAAATAGGATTTTGCTGCACAGCCTGCGTTGTTTGCTGGTCATTAATATAAACACCAAACACATAAAAATGGGATAATTTGGCTAGGGGTTACACGAATTACATTCTACGAATTTATGTCCAGTAAAGGTGAGGGCCTACACTTTGGCCATAACAAAAGACGCTAAACCGTTCATTGTATTGACTATACAACTAGAATTGTTAAAATTTAATTGTAACATCAACATAGCACGCTAGTAGTAATGTGTAGTAATGTTAACACTACAAAAGAGATCAAATTTACATAATGTTGTACTATGTGTTTCTAACTTAATTAAGGTGTGGCAAGGCCTTGGGGAGGGAGCGGGTTTGATGATTTCAAAGACTAGAGATGTTTTCAAAGCTGTGAAGATCAGATTGAAAAGGACGGACTACACACTACACATGTGCGTCGACACTAAACACCCTGTTAAGTAAACGTGGGGGGGGGCTTGCTGCCCCTCAGCGTTTTTCATCGCCAGGCCCCTGCCTCAGTACAATAATCGTTGGAAAAGGGTGAAAATCCTATTCGTTGCCAAATATTTCCTTATCACAGCATTGCCTGGTTTAATATTATTTTCATCCGAATTATCTCTATTTTCGACTAATGTTAAGATATTAATTTTTCCAATTTCCAAACGTTCCTCCAAATTCGTCTGAAGTCTTCAACCTTATATTGGATCTTATATTTCCAATAAACCCTTTTCGGAAGTACTTAGCCTTGGCCCCTTATCTCTTCTGTGCCTTGGCCACTATGGAGCCTCATTTTCGGGAATGAGATATTGGCTTTAGAGACCTTTACTTGTTACTGATGACCTAATTATAGAAAGATCTTTTATATTATCTAATATATAACTGCATGATTTGTAAATGCGTCCATCTATAACAGGATAAATTACTTTAAATCCAATACCTCAAGTCGCGAAAACGAGACTCTTTTGCCAAGGTCAAGTACTTTCGAGGGGTGTATTCAGTATAATTGATAATTATATATTTTCTAGATTATGCCTTAATGATACTGAAAAGCATAATTAAGCAACTTTTATGAGGTTATCTGAAAGTAATAAGATACTCAGTGTAACATACGTAGTCTTTAAAGATTACAAAAATTTTTGGGTTTGCAATGTTATCGACCACCGAGTCAAATGTTTCATTCGGATCAGCGCTCCTCTTGTTGGGAGCAACTAGCATATTAGGGTTCCCCTGTGTATATTCACCGACCAAGACCTTGGCGTAGTACATGTAGCGAAGACCCTGTGAGTCTGGGGGCGAAAAGGTCGTATTGCAGGAATAATTAGCGTCTCGGGCGAAGTAAACACCTCTGCCGTAAGCCTTGCCTGAAAAAATCAGAGAAAATTAAGTGTCAATAGAAGATCTTATACAACACCGATATACCTGCTAGCCTCTGATACTATAGAGGAACATTATGTTAAATTTAACAATAGCACAGAACTATAAAATGAATGCGAGTACAGTAGTAGTCTAAAGAATGTCAGAATACTCAATTTTAAACCTTACCATTTTTTCCTGCGAAGCTTCTGTCGAATCCACCAGCATTAATTTTCTCAATATTTTCACGTGAGGTGCCATGAAAGAGCATCAATTCTTTGCCAGCAAGGTTGCTGCCGTATTTGTTAACCATTGCTTGGCGTTTCAGATTATAATGCTCATAAATTTCTCTATTTTCAATTCTTTCGATGCGGATAATTTGATTCGGAGCAGTTCTGTGGAATGCAGCTTCAACGTCCTTGTATTCCTTACTACTGGCGGACAGATTGAACTTATTAAATCTGCCTACAATCAGTGAGCTATCCCAGTAACTTGTAGTCGTTCGATGACCTATAAGAGTATGGATAACAATTAGGTTGTTCTAACTTCATTAAATACGAATTAATTGCCAATTTAACCTCTCTCATTCTTTAAAACATTAAACTTTGTCATGTGCGACAATACTTTTTGGACGCAATTATAGAGAATATACATGTGCAATGCACCAAACTTATTTACGGCTACATGAAATTACAAATGTCAGTAGTAGACGTTTTCGCTCAAACAAAGTAGTGATTATTCAGCTTGATCCATCGGTAGATAAGACAAACAGATTCTTGAAAGAAATCTGCTTGCGGCGGAAGACGACGCCATATTTGTCTTTTCACATCGCATCAATAGCACAACGTATGCCATATCGCACCAGGCGCATGTACATTTATCTAGACCTAACCATGGACAGCTACGACAAATGCAACAATGGGCCCTCTGGGTGGAATCAAATCTGCTGTCCTGCGATTCCAATGCAGCGCTCTAACCATCCGAGCAACAGAGAGACAGTTATTTGAGCTCTAACCGCACGTTCTGATATTAATTATCTTAGTATAAGTTCTGATGTTAGTTAATATCTTAGTGCACCAAAATCTTACCTTCAAATTTACGTTCGTTATCTTTGATATCCTTCAGAATTTCACCTATCTTCTCTTGAACATTGGCAACGTCAACACTATGTCCTTTTATCCTTATCATCCCTCTGCTAGAATCAACTTCAATCCTGACGTCATATTCACCCTCCAGTTTACACAGTTTCTCATGGTCAAGAAAAGAGAATTTAGTGATGACGTTATCGTTGATAATCTTCTCAAGAATATTTTCAGATATTTTTCGTTTCAACTCTTGCCAGACCTTATCAATTTTACTGCGGTTATCTGAATAAATCTTGATTGACGTGCTCCCGTATCTTGCTGTCGTCTGTGTGGGTCTTGCCAAGACCATTTCGTCCAAATGCCCACGATTAAATTCTTCTACACGGGCCAAACTAGTTGCACCGCTGGAGTGAAAATAAGCTTCACCTTGCTGAGTGTTTAAACTACTGGCATCTCTGGAGGCAAAATACGTTTTGGTGGCATCTTTGAAATTAATAAACTTCACTTTATCCACAATAACAATGCGAACTAAACTCAAAGAAGCGAGATTTTTGCTCTCAGCAATCCTGGACAAAGTATCAAAGATCAAATTTGCCGATTCATTTTCGGAGCGACCCAGTGCGCCTGCCCCTATGGCGGAAAACGAAATACTGAAGATATTTTTCTTTATAACATCATCGAAAAATTTTTCAAGACATATTCTCAGGTCGGCGACTTTCATCGAACCCGGTGCAACGACGTGAGCGATTTGACGAACATTCAATCTTCCAGCATTTGTGTACCGCGTCGAAAAGAGAGCGGGCCGCCCGAGTGCTTTGCATTCTTGAACGATGCTGTCACCCCCCGCTCTTATTAGAGCTTTTGCGACCCCACCATCGAAGGAAAAAGTTTCATTGACCACGTGCATGATTAGATCGGTCCTTTCTTTGCTGATGTCGGAGCATACTATTTGAACTGTGAGGTTTTTACTCGCAAGAGAAAGTTCTAGCGATCCGTCAAGTTTTTCAATAGGGGTAATGTTGTTTAGATTTCCTGCATTTGTTATAACTTCACTCCTGGCAAATAATCTTGAGACGCTCCTGCTTGGAGGCGATGAAATCACAGATTTGAATTTCTGAACTGCATCTATTAAGAATAATAAAAGTAAACGAGATGTCAGCTAAACATCTTCCAGTTAAGATGGAAGGGTTAGTTTCAGTGGCGAGCTAACCATAGCAACATGTTATGTTATGCAAATTTCTAATGTAACAAACCTAGAAACGCGCCCACTGTTGCTTGGTCGCTACTATACGCCACAAAGCGAATATCGTTTACAGCCGACTGAGGATGCGCAGTGAGGTAACCTCTAACTTCTTCAAAAAAGATTTTCGCAACTTCTCGACGTGGAAATCCTAAAGTTCCTGTGCCAATTGCGGGAATCGCGATGGAGGTTAGTCTATCGTTTTCGACTTGGTCCAAACATTTTTTGATGAGCTGTCGGAGAATCTAAAGGAAAAAATTAGAATATTTTCCGATACTTTCACCCTTCGTGATCTAGAGTTAGCCTACATTATAGAACATGTACTAACTCTGTATGTATAACCATGCTTAACTCAGCAGTGAGTTCTGTACAACATCAGATCACTTTAAGATAGCCCACATTCAAGAACATGTACTACCTCTGCATGATCTAACCATGCTTAACTCAGCAGCAAGTTCTGTATAACATCATATCATTTAAGGTAGCTCACATTCAAGAATATGTACTACTTTTGTATAATCTAACCATGCTTAACTCAGCAGTGAGTTCTGTACAACATCAGATCACTTCAAGGTATCCTGCATCAGATCATTTTAATATAAACGAAATTTAGGAACATGTAGCACAACTGATTCTCTTATACTTAATTTAGGTGTAAGTTTTGTACAACATTGGGTCACTGTATATAACATATAACCATGCAAACTCAGAGGTGAGTACGTTTATCTCTAGAATAATCCATGGTACAACAGAAGACACAATCAAACTTTACCAGGGCTCCATTTCCGTTGTTCCACGATGATGAACGAACATGATAGACACGTTTACAATTCAGTTTTGCCGGTCCAGTCGAAGCCATTTCTCCTTTTTGGAGACTTCCGATTCTCTTACATTCATTCAACAATTCATTACCAGCCACACTAAGCAAAGCCTTTCCACAAGGGTTGGAAAAATCCACTCTTTCATTGGTTGTGTTTACAATGACGTCAACCTAATAGAAAGCAGAAATAAAATCTCTGTAAAATAAACCGGGAGGTTTTAATTCATTAAACACCTCAAAAAGTAAAAATCAAAATGGAAGCGCTCTTTATATGTCACTGGCAAACAAACTAAAAAATTATGTTTAGTGCTTTATCTGCAAAATTATGTTAAAATGAAAAGAATTTAGATGGTACGAGAGGAACGCCAAAAAGATTTTCGTTTTTTCAGAACACTTCTATATCTCATCGCAAATAGGCAATATTGAAAAAAATTGACTCTTTACAACTTAAATATACCTTTTGTTGTGCCAAATCTCCAACAACTATCGTTATTCTCTGTCCAGATGGCATTTTAACTTCTTTATCTCTGACGGCAATCCATTCGTCTGGAACTGCTGCAGCGAGTTCTCTCGACTCTCTGTGAACTTGCACACTGGGTCGAAATTCTGGTTTTATAAGACATTTGTGTTTCTTTTCAATCTCAGAAATGATGGCATTCGTTGCCTCCATACTCATCTGTTTTTTCATGCCAGGTTCGGTCAGAGGATACGCCTAAAGATAAAAATTTGCAGCTGTTATAAGAAAATATTACTGTACATTTCCCTCCCTTGACAGTTGGGTTGAAACTATCAAGGGACGCCAGGGAGCGATATCTCCCTCCCTGGACATTATCGTCCGGTAGATGGCGGTCAACTTGCAGTTATCAAAGCCGGAAGAAAATGATGTTAGTCATTTTCAATGGAGCTTAATTCTTTGCTCCCATACGAGTGCCAAAATTTCTGAAGTTAACTATCAACCGCTATATCCGGTAACGGTAAACGAAGTCCAACGGTGCATGTTTAAGCTAACATTCAGGAATTATTCAACGACAAGACAGAACATGCCCAAGAACCCTTTATGTTTACCGTGTAAGCAAATTTCAAAAGATAAAGAGTAGAGCTCAGCAAATAACTTTAAAACCAAACATAATAAAAGTAAAAAATTTAATAGCTAACGTTTCGTTGCTCACAATACAACATCTTCAGAGCAATTTAAATTAATTTACAGGGTATATGGTATATATATTTACAAAATAATGGTTTATATTACAAAAACGGTTACATAGTTTAAAAGAACAAATGAATAGAGAGAAAGGAAAACAACTTAACCAGTTACTTAGTAAAGATTCATTATGGTTAGTATAGTTTAAGAGTTAATATTACATAACTAAAATAACTCAAGAGGAGTAGATCTAATATTAGTATCTAATCTTATCGTAGCTTTCGCTTTACCCCAGTTTCGATGTATTTTAGTCGTATGACGTTCTATTAGGCCTACGACTTATTTATAGGCCCAATATCAGCCTGACAAACCACGGTATTGATAATTTTTCGTCACTGCTACGGGACGATCAAATACAAAATATCAACCAAATACTGTTAATGTCCATCGTTTGTCAACTGTCAGTTAAAGGTGATCTACAGTCCGTATGTAAACAAAGCCTTTGTTTACATTTTTTGTGTCCAAAATATTGAGCTTTATTCGACAACTATTTATATTTTCAAGCTTCTAGAGTATAATAAATGATCAAGAAACAACAATCAGGCTTTTCAAGAACTCAAAACATAGTTAAACTGTTTGCATCATAAAAAGTGGGCTCATTTGTGCACATGCGCAGATCGGATTGTAGATCACCTTTAAGCTAACATTCAGGAATTATTCAACGACAAGAGAGAACATGCCCAGGAACCCTTTAATCTCTAGGCCCTCTTCTTAGCTTTACAAAGACATACATACCTTAAAAACAACATTTCTACACAGATTTGTAAGAAAAATGATCATTTCTTCTCTGCCTGCCTTCGTTCCCTTTACCTCAAGCGAGTCGCTACCGCTATCAACGACAACAACGCCTTCAGCTTTGCAACGGTGTTCTTTCTCTTTAATCTTATCGCAACAGTGCTGCTTTAAGAAACGAAGTCTCATCGGATCCGCGAATTTTAATTTCCCGCTTATGATCTTCTTTTTGTCAGCTAAACCCGACAGTTCGTCTTCGACTTTGTCCATCTTAGATTTTTCACAGACGATCCAAATATTGCAAGGTTCAGCAAGGTCTGGGTAGATCATGACTTGGTTCTTCTCAAACTGCCTTTTCTTAAATTCCTGTAGTTTTTCCGATTTCTTCAGTAAACTTGCTGTTTCTTTGTCGAATTTTACGCATTTCTCTGCGGTTTTCGTTTGTACGATGTTTAGAAGTAGTTCTACCTGTAAAATAAATGTAAATAAATTTAGTTCCTACATTGTTTTTTCATTACGAAGCCAAAAAACAAAGACTACTATACCAAAAGACAGATCTAGCAGTTCTCAATTTGCTTTCCTAAAGGTTTAGTAAGGGCCATCCTCGGTTGGACCAGTGTCGCTGAAGGAGGAATCTGGGGTATCTGGAGATAGTCTAATCTGATAGTTCAACGCCAGAATGAAGAGATTTCATTTTAATTACTTTTACGCGTCTGATCGAAATATTATTTAGTATTCTCACGTTTCATATGACGTCACGTCGGGGTTAAGAGTAAAGCAAGGCTTTTGTATTGCGTTTTGTTATTGACTTTTAATAATAGTCAGCGAACTTTGACATCAGTTCAATGATTGATCCCCACTCGAGTCAAATTATGCTAAAATATCAGGTGATTGACACCCAAGAATTACCTCATTATAACCACATTTCGTCAAGGAGAAAATCTTTGCCTGCAAACCATTTACGGAAATCAACATTAACATGATGCAATAATTCTTCAACTCATCGTTCACAATCTGGCATTTAGTACGCTGCAGAAAATCTATCTGACGACCACTCATCTTCACGTCAATCTCCGAGATCTCCTTCAAATCTTCGGATATTTTTATTTTGACGCCCTCTGTTTTCTCCGCCGTTCCTACAAGCGACAATTTACCAGACGAACTTTCCATCCCATGAATTTCTACTCCGCGAAATTCTGACATAATGTTCTTGAAATAATCAATAAAACTTAAGAATTTCAGTTTATTTTTGTCATGTATTACTAATTCTGTTGATTTAAACTTGGCTTCTTCTGAAATCCTATCTATCATTGCTTCAATTGATTGTTTTTTGAGAGCGATATCTTCTCTCTTCCCAATGAGAGTAACTCGATAACCATCAAACCTAAAATCAACTTGAATTGCTTTGAATTCTGCTTTTTTGCCTTCGAGCGCTTCCTTGACTTTCTCGAAAACAGCTTTTGGGATTTTGACCTCTTCCTTGACAAACGAGTGCAAAAATTCTTTCAGCTTGTTTTCAAATTCCTGCGCGAGATTGGGATCCTCAAAATCTTTTGTAAAATGAAATCGTGATTTCTCTTCATTATATTTCATTGATTTAAAGTCAAATTTGGTTTCAATCTTTTGTTTGTTGAGTAGGTAGTCCATGACAAGGGGTTCGATATTGTAGCCACCAGCGAATTCAGTTGTTTTCGTTGTAATTTCTTGCAGCTCTTCGAAGTCATCATAATAGGGAATCACGGTTACAGGAACACCTTCAAATTTATGTTCCTTTTTCACAAGTTCGGAAACCACTGTAAAAATATTAGAATAATTTAAATATGTGTATATGGAAATAGCTTGCTAATTAATTATAATATGTATTTGACTGTAGTTAAGTGTTGTTGCGTCGAGTATTTAGTTTCATGTATCCAAACTAATACTCTGAACATTTTCTGTTGGAGGGAACCAGGAATTCATGTTCTCTTTCACTTATTTTATGGCAAGTTATCCTAGAAAAAGTTCGAGGAAGTGAAATGCGAATTTCCAAATTTTAGTTTTGAATGCATTTTACATAACACGACTTTGTGCGAGACGTTGCATCACATGCATATGTGGTTTCATTGCAAGTTGCAGAAAAGATTACCTCCTAATACCTCGTGTAATATGGTCTTTGAAGAAACCTATAGTAAAGTACACACAATGCGGTAGACCCATACCTGAACATTTCTCAAAGTAAACATTTGCGACTCCGCTTTTTTTATTCAGCTTCACTTCAGTAACTTGACCACCACAGATTTTTCGACTTGAAAATTTATATTTTACATCATCCGAACTCGTTCCTGCTGGTATATTACCGATTCTTATGCCTTTGGTTAATCGAGCAAATTCCAGGGAAATGATGGAGCCATCTAACTTCATGTCTTTTTTTAAGCTTTCTTTACTTGGATAATCTTCATCTAAATGAAGAATGTTTATTTTGGCTTACGAAAAACAGAACGCTTATTTATTAAGCCAAAGCTCAGTCCGTAAGCCAGATTTTCATTATTTACAAAAACTATAAAACGGAAAATCATTTAATTTTGATTCCTTAGAAAATTATGTTCGAATAAACATAAAAATGTGGATCAATTTATTTTTTGCCAGTCTGAAATATGGGCTGTGCATTCTCCTTTGCGTTTTTTTCAATAAATTACAATATACATACCTATTTCGCTGTTTAGTATCACGATAGCTTTACCACCTTTCCCGAAAACAACATTCAGGACATCAGCATTCTTCACAAATTCCACGAAACTTACAAACGTCTCTTTCTTAGTTTGAGGGTTCAGATTTTTTGCCAGTAGAATGCTTCTGTCATGTGTTGGCTCAAATACTGAACTAACGTTCAAATTACAATCCAGTTGAAGCGCTTTTTCATTTGCTTTCTGGTGGACGCCCAGTGCATCTAAATATACAGAGTAATACTTGCACGACCATTGTACAAAGTACGAGGTAGAAGAAATGCTGGAGTAGAAATCATAGTCAAAGAAGTAGAAGAGGCAAGAATAGAATGCCGTAAGTTTATTAAACATTTTGTTAGAACAGATGATAAAAAATTCAGAGAAAAGAATGATCGAATTAAAAAGATCATGAAAGAGATTGGATTTATGCTGATAAATGGATGATATAAGGATCACGGATTGATGATTTAAGGGATGAAGTTAGATGAAGACGATACCTTTTGAGGAAACAAATGCCAAACGAGAAAAAGTGGGAGAAAGTCTCTTGAATCCTTCTTTGCCTTTGCGAAGATCACAACCACCAGATCTTCTTTTGCTTTCAAAAGACAAGGTAGTGGGGTTTTAGGTGTTGAAATGTTTATACTATTGACAAATGTTGTTGTAACTTTATTTGCTGCATCTTCTGGTTGACTGACTTCTTGCTTGTCCACTGCAGGGCTGCCCTGTTTCTGTTTAAGATAAATCAAGTAAATAAGCTTTCGTGGTTTGTGTCTGAAGTATACATGAACATTATTAGCAACATTTGAACATTTTTAGCGAAGGCACTTCAATCGTAAGGTTTCTCAATAGTATGCCAAACAGTCAAGTCCCAGTATGGTGTGTGACTTTTGCTCAAACGGTCGAAATTTTCATAATCTTTTTCAGATAATCTTTAGTCACAAACTAACGTTTATTATAGTACAAAGTTTATATTGATCTCATTGACCTTTTTGTTTCTTGACCATAATTCATAGCTGTGAACTTCAATCCTGCTGCCATTGATGACTTGCTCAGGGTGATTCAAGACGCTTGTTGCAACTAAAAACACAGAATAAGAGAATCTGATAAGTAATTACTAACATTTGCCTGGATTTGTGACAGACATTTTACAAAATACCTTGCTGACCACTGGTAATAGCGCTCGTTGACCACCATCTGTTGTGCGAGAGCGTTTAGTGAAACCCGAACGATGAGTATTCAGTGCAATGACTATGGCAATGACTTATTAGCCTTAATATCAGCGTACACGATACAAACGGAAAAGCGATATAAATAAAATACTCCAAACCTTCATGCATATCAAAAGTAACAAACGCAACACTTCCGTCCAGCAGAACATCGCCGACATCTCCACCGCCATTTTTTCCCTTCTGAAAATGAATCGTCAGTTCGTCTTCTCCGACATTTGAAGGGAAATTTAAAACCACAACCGTTCGCTTCGGATCAATGCTCTGCTCTGAGAGCCCTGCCATGTTTTGTAAAACGTTTCGAGGCTAGCTTCGCCTCAAAACGAAACTGCAATACAATAATTCGCTTCCGAATGTTTTGTATTGCTTAAGCTGCACAAATGTTTGCTACGTGGGCATTCCTGGAAAATCGAAGGTAATTCTTGGACTCCCGATGTCTGTAAATCAGACTACAGACAGCTTCCGTGCAGTATTTTGAAAGGACTTTTGGCAACTTTCACTATAAATATACAACGATTTTACGGTTCAAGCTTAAGGTTGTTGTCTTAGCGAAGAAGTTATATGCGTGAAATACTGCATTCTTCAGAGTAAAATAAAGGGAAATTTCCCCAGATATATATTTGGAAACTTTACGTCATACTATGTAATATAATCTCATGTAAATAATTCATTTGCGTTTTGTAATGCCCACCTGCTATTTTTGTTTTTAAGCTTTCGCTTTCCAGCGAAATGTCAAATGCTGAGTTATGTGAATTTGCATTTTAATTTGTTAGAATAACAATAGCTTTACAGCATGATTGCAAAGTTGCTAAGCAGTGCTTGTGGTTTATTTTGTAAATGTTTTTAACCAATTCTTTCTTTGTAGAATTGGTGGGTTTCTGAGTAAGCATTAAAGCTGCAATCGCATAATTATGCTGGTCGACTTAGAAATGTTGAGACTGTAGGAACAAGAACATTAAAACTATATACATATCTCAATTCTGTTTATTTGCAACCGAATACAAGGCTACTAGCTAGATATAATGAAGACAATTCTTCTAGTTGACTAAGGAAAATAAAATATTTATTTCTTTCGAGTAATATAAAATGTACTGAGGTACATTTTCCAATGTCGTGCGTTTCATCGTTTATTAATTAATGTTCCTCCTTATGATATAACCCTATATTTTTAATTCTGCAATTTATACATTACAAAAGAAATCATACTATGAGATTTGAAAGTAATGATCTCAAATTCTTAAATTATTATGCTGAGCAGTAAATATAGGAAATCACAACTGTATGTGAGAAACTGGATGTGTGATCTTTTAATAAAAAGACTTAATTATTGACCCCAGAAGTATTTATTTTACACAATTTTCAATCCATCTAAGGGACCGGTCATTATTTATGGCAGGGGTGGGGGCCGAAGAGAAAATGGTGGGGTAACTGAAAAATAATACTTGCTTTAGGTGGGGTGGCCAAAAAATCCTTGCATGCAGAGGTGGGGTAAAAAAAATAACCTTACTTTAATCACACACAATACAATATATACTACTATCAGAGTTTAATATGTGATTATTCTAATTTTTTAATAAAATATTATTGCTTTCCAAAATGTTGACAGAAACACCCCCCTCAACCCACCTGTAAAGGGTCATTTTTATATTCATTTACACACAAAATCTCCAAAGACTCCAATGACCAGACAAAATATATATTGCCTATATATAGGAGCTGTTTAAATGGTGCAACTGCAAGCCAACCCCAGGGTACCCAAGCTTGCCCAGTTTTGGCAAGATCCTGCCTTTGTTGTTATTTCTTACTATTAAAAGTTCACCTTGTGTATATATGGGTAAAGAGCGGGCCCAGCTATAGCTAAGTGAGATCCCGCCCCTTTAGCCCGAGATCTTGCCTCAGGAAAAGTGACCTTAAGTCTGTAGCCCCTAACCCCGGGCATCCAGCCTCGCCCCCATATAAACATCCCCTTATTACATATCTCAAAAAGTATATGTACAGTCTATTAAATTTTCAGGATTTAATTTTTGGGCATCTACATTTGATACTGTATAACTAATATTTATATCCAGTATGTGCTTGTAAACCATGTGGACAATTCAGGTAGCAAATCATGAAATATGCCCCATGCCCCTTGTGAATCGATCTGGAGAATCATTCCAATGGCTAGATCATAATATGTTCAGCTCAAACATTGTTCTGAGTCTTTGGCAACTGCCTGTTTTTCTTTACTAGCAGACCATGTATACATGAATAAAATATTAAAATAAGGGAAATCTATTTACCCGTTTCACAAATTAATTTAATTGTTTATATAATCATACTTGGAATTCGGATGAATATCTTTATCTTCACACTGTATAACAGCAACTCTTTCTCATTAATTTACAGTAACATCATTTTCTAAATTCAGATATTCTCACATGGGACATATACTTTATTATTATACATTTAATATGTATTCTCGTTTCTAATTGGTCAGAAAGCACCAGCTAATTTTCAGTATTCGGCATTTATTACGTATTTTCCGCCGATGACGTCATCAGCGTCCAATAATTGTTTTTTTGGATCGAACTTGCATCCAAAAAAAAAATTATTGGACTCTCTCGTGCCCAAACCCTTGCGCGGCCAAAGGCTTGAACCTATAAGCGCGGGAAAAAAAACAAACAAACAATGGCCTACAGCAGATTTGCTTCGCTGAATGAAAGTGAACTCTCCAAATTATTGGCAGATAAGGATAGTGAAAGCACGAAAAAAGCCACAAAGGGGTAAATAGAAGTAGAAATAGAATATTTAGCTGACCTTTGACTTTGTGCAAGGTGTTTGATACTCAAATTGTACTTTTCCTACCTCATGAACAGGAATCGTTTTATACGTTTCTCATGTCTTTATTAAATGTATAATAAAACAATTATTGGATTCGGCTTTCGCATGATATCAAGAATTATTCAGACCTCGGTCTATGTTATCCGCCTCAGCTTCGCTTCGGCAGATAACATTGACCTCGATCTGAATAATTCTTGATATCATGCTCACCCTCATCCAATAATTGCTTAGTATCGTTGTATTGTTTACAAATTAAAATATTAAATTGATTTCATAAACTTCAAGAATTCCTTGGGAATTCTTAAGGAATTCCTTTAAAATTCCGTGATAATACATGTGATTGTCTATAGTAAGGAAATGTTAAAGGAATTTCAGAGGAAATTTTAGAATTTAGATAGTTGCAATCATGGGTGAGCACATATTTTGTGAAACTGTTTCAAAATAAAATTGCATTTTAATTAATAAAGAAATGCAAGAATGTGAAAGGAACCAAATTATATACAGTGAAACTTTAAAGTGGGAAAGAGATAGGGTGGTGAAATACGGTTAGTGTTCTAAAATACTGAAATATATGCTGTACAGGTTTTATATCAGTGCATGGTTAATATATGTATATGGGACTAGCATTGCACTATCTCGTGAAAAGGGAATATAGCGTTGAATAGAAACTATAAAAACCCATTCATATTTCAGGCTTAAAATTTAGACAAATTTTAAGCCTTCAGATAACTATATAATTCTTTATATAGTACCTTGCTATTGTAAGGGTAACCCATAATAAGGCATGACTGTTAGTGTGCTTTAATTACTCCACAAGAAATAAGGGGCAAGGGATATTGGTAAACAAGTATTACCAATCAATCCTATTCCCTTTTAATTATAATGGCCACTGTGGTCAAAGCACCGTATAATAAGCAATTATTGGATGAGGGTGAGCATGATATCAAGAATTATTCAGATCGAGGTCAATGTTATCTGCCGAAGCGAAGCTGAGGCGGATAACATAGACCGAGGTCTGAATAATTCTTGATATCATGCGAAAGCCGAATCCAATAATTGTTTTATTATACATTTAATAAAGACATGAGAAACGTATAAAACGATTCCTGTTCATGAGGTAGGAAAAGTACAATTTGAGTATCAAACACCTTGCACAAAGTCAAAGGTCAGCTAAATATTCTATTTCTACTTCTATTTACCCTTTTGTGGCTTTTTTCGTGCTTTCACTATCCTTATCTGCCAATAATTTGGAGAGTTCACTTTCATTCAGCGAAGCAAATCTGCTGTAGGCCATTGTTTGTTTGTTTTTTTCCCGCGCTTATAGGTTCAAGCCTTTGGCCGCGCAAGGGTTTGGGCACGAGAGAGTCCAATAATTTTTTTTTTGGATGCAAGTTCGATCCAAAAAAACAATTATTGGACGCTGATGACGTCATCGGCGGAAAATACGTAATAAATGCCGAATACTGAAAATTAGCTGGTGCTTTCTGACCAATTAGAAACGAGAATACATATTAAATGTATAATAATTATTATTACAAAGTGTTGTCACTTGAAAGTAATAAGATACTCAGTGTAATACTCGTAGTCTTGAAACATTACATACTTTGTTGGGTTTACAAGGTTGTCGACCACCGAGTCATATGTTTCGTACGTATTGGCGCTATTCTTATTGGGAGGAACTCGCATACTAGAGTTCCCCTTTGTGTAATCTCCGACCAAAACTCTGGCGTAATACATATAGCGAAGACCGTGCGAGTCTGGAGGCGAAAATCTCGTACTGCAGGAATATTTAGCATCACGGGCGAAGTAAACACCTTTGCCAAAAGCCGTGGCTAGAAAAACAGAAAATATATATATTATGCATTCATTGAAAGAACACTGCAAACTATACAACAAGAACAAGAACAAGAACGATGACGACGACGACGACGACGAAAGGTCGGATTAAAAACATGAGCAGCCGATCTTTATCTGACATACAAACATGAGCCGAAGGCGAGAGTTTGTTTATCAGATAAAGATCGGATGCGAATGTTTTAACGTGCTTAAAAACGACCCATCTTATGAGTTCATTAGCGAAGTAATTTTAAAAATAAACATTGTCTAAGCCGAGAAAATCAAAGCTGAAGTTTATGTAAATCAGGACAAATCTTTATCCGATTTACAAACATTGATTAAACATTCATTTCTTTTGTACTTTCCTCGTGAATTATTAATGAGATTTTAAAATATTATTTACAGAGCATCATACAACAGAACAAAATGACTGGGAGTAGAGTTATTAACTGTACAATAGTATAAAGTTTAAGGTTACCCGTAAAGGAGTGTTCATGCAAATATGTGGGTATAAGTATAACCTGTCCGTTTTTTATCTGACACAGATTGTAAAAAATTAAAAAAACAAAAAAAATCCTTTACCAGCCAAATAGCAAACAATTTCGCGAAATCATCAGATGAAACACACTCTAGATGTCTTGTAAACTCAACATTCGAGCTATTGTTGTATTGTTACAGTGGCACAAGGAATGCCGTCAGAATATATCATTTTAAATCTTACCATGGGGTCCTGCGTAACTTCTGTTCAATCCACCAGCATTAATTTTCTCAATATTCTCAACTGAGGTACCATGAAAGAGCATCAATTCTTTCTCGGGAAACTTGCTGCCAAATTTTTTCATCATTGCTTGGCGCTTCAGATTATAGTGGCCATAAATTTCTTTATTTTGAATTCTTTCGACGCGAACAATTTGATTCGGAGCAGTTTTATGGAATGCAGTTTCAACGTCCTTGTACTCTTTACTGCTGGTGTACAGAGTGATCTTGTGGAATTTCTTTCCAGTCAGTGAGTTATCCCAGTAATCTGGAACTAAATGGACTTATAATGAATATATAGTAGTCATGCAGAATGATCTTCAATTTATGAACTGGAACATATGGTAATTATTGTAACTAATGTTAACATGTCCCAATCTAACGCCAGACGAATCTATTTCTCAAGAAAAACTCTTGAACGTTAATCAGTGTATTTTTCAATCAATTTAAATACGCAATCTCTGTAAAGGATTTACAAATAAGAGTTCGTTGAAGGCGAGTCCTTGTATATCCGGAATAGACGCAAATGCTTTGCGGTGATTATTCACTTTAGATTAATTTTGATTTGTACTTCTCATACATCATTAGATATTCATAGCATTTCGGCCAATGACATGGTTTAATTTACATCACGTGTATCTATCTGGATACCCCGTCTAGACCAGGACTTTAATTACTTCAAGTGGGAAGGGCTATAAACAATAGGGAAATTGAGGCGTAAACAAAAGATTATGCAAATATATTTAATTGCTATGTTTAGAATTATTTCTAAATACAGTAAGTTGTATTTAGAAATTTATTCTAACTACACTTTATAGCTAACACTTTTCCTAAACGTTTGAAAACTACATAAATATAGGAAAACCAACTTTTTTACCAACTATCATAATAAACAGCGCTTTAAACACTATATAATACAGCAACTTACCAGTAATGTTTACCGTCTATAAAATATATATTCACTTCGGCTCTTTCATTTTCCACCAGATAGCGCCTCATCGCACACTCAATCTGATATATCGTTTTTCGGATCCCCAACTGAACCTTGTCAGCCGAGCGACAATACTGTGCACAATGCTGTGCTCAACACTTTGTGGTTCTCGAATCCGCTTTTTCTTATATTATAAGAAGATACCATGCTCTTTTGCCAACAAAATTCATCTATTCACGACGAAAGCGAACTGAATGCTTCGTTGCGCTTCATGCAAACTTTCAAGCGAATGTAATCGTTAATGCCCACGCTCACTTTTTTGAATATCTAATAATTTCATGCCTCATTGCTATGAAAGTCTAATGATGGGTGAGAAGCAATTTCAAATCCTCGTTAGTGTTTTAAACTTGGCTTCCAAATCCCCAGTGCCATGAACAATGGCTCGGCTGCGCCTCGCCATTGTTCATGGCACTTGTATTTAGAAACCACGTCTAAAACACTAACTCGGATTTGAAATATTACTTCTACGATGTTACTTCACCGAAACTGTAAAAAAGGGAAAAAAAAATTAAAAATCTTATGTTTTGTCATATGTGTTGAAGATTACTACAAACTGATACAAACACAGTTTTTAATCCAGGCCCCCCCCCCCCGGCAATCTGACGACCTTGTTGACAAAAACGTTTGCTTAAGCTGGCTATTGATTAAACATTCACTTTCTTCGCAAATTATCAATGTCTTCAGCATTAAAACTGTATATTAACATTAATTACTTTAGTTCATCCGAAAATTCTACCTTTGCTTTCGTTACCTTTGATATCCGTCAGAAATTTAATAATCTTTTCTTGAACATTTGCAACGTCAGCAATATATCCTTTTATTGTAAGCATCCCTTTGCTCTTATCAACTTTGATCTTAACGTCATTATCGCGCTCCAGTTCATGCAGCTTCTCAAGATCGCGGTCAGTAAAATTCTTGATGACGTCATTGTTTATGTTCTTCTCATGAATATTTTGAGATATCTTTCTCTCCAACTCTATCCAGGCCTTGCCAATCTTCTCGCGGTCATCTGAATAAATCCTGATCGACATGCTTTCATCTCCTCCTACCGACTCTGCGGGTTTTCTAGAATGACTTGCGCATGCGTCGACTGGCCGTGGGCTCGAACTAGCGGTACCCCTCGAGAAGAAATACAATTGGGTTGCGTCTTTGAATTTAGTAAATTTCGCTTTTTCCAAAATCACAATGCGGATTAAACTTAAAGCATGATTTTTCGACTTTGCAATCCTGGACAAACTATCAAAGATCAAGTCGGCCGATTGTCTCTCGGAGTATCCCATTGCGCCTGCACCTATGGCGGAAAACGAGACTCTGGCGATATTTTTCTTTGAAACGTCATCGAAAAATGTATCCAGACATTTTCTTAGGTCGGCAACTTTCATCGAGGACGGTGCAATGACGTGCGCGATCTGACGAACAGCCAATCTCCCCGCTTTTGTATACTGTGTCGAATAAAGGGTAGGCTTTCCGAGTGCCTTGCATTCTTGAATGATGCTATTACCCCCCGCTTTTATGAGAGATTTAGCGACCCCACCCTTAACAGAGAAATCTTGACGGGTCACATGCATAATTAGATCAGTCCTTTCTTTGCTGATATCATCGCATACTATCTGAACTGTGAGCTTTCCGCTCCCAAGCGAGAGTTCTAGCGATCCGTCGTGCTTTTCAGTAAACGTAACGTTACTTTGACTGCCTGCATTTGATACAACTTTATTTCTGAACAACACTACAGGAACGTGCTTTCTTGTACGTGATAAAATCACAGATCTAATTTCCTTATGTGCATCTATAAAGAATAATAGAGGTAAAAGTAAAAGTAAGAGGACCCTGCTCAAACGTGACTGAGACAAAGACTAACTACGACACCTCTGACTGCTACGATATCTGATCTTGAAGCTCATCGCTGGCAAGTGTAATTTAATTGAATGCAAAATGTTTATTATCTTCAAATGTTACCCCCCCCCCACACCTTCCCCCAACCTCGCTCTCAAATAAAGATATAACGTCACAAACCTAGAAATGCGTCCACCGTTGCATGGTCCCCATTAAACGCCACAAAGTGAACTTCACCAATGGTGGACTGAGGGTGGGCATTGAAGAAACCTGTTACTTCTTCAAACAAGATTTTCGTAACATCTGGACGTGGGCAATGCAAATTTCCTGTGCCGATGGCGGGAATGGCGATAGATCTTAGTTTGTCTTTCTCCACCTGATCAAGACATTTTTTGATGAGCGTACGGAGAATCTGAAAAAAATGTAATTTATTAAATCCTCATTCAAGCATATGTTTGGTCTACCCTTGTTGTACAACATCAGATCACTTTAAGGTAACCGACACACAATCATAGTTAATTTGGCCGTAAGTTGGGCACATATCAGGTCACTGCATGATAACTTAAACTCAGGGATTAATACGCTATAATGCTTGAACGAGGATTGGACCAGAGACAAAATCAAACC